ACACTGGTCGTACTCAAGATATAAGCAATTCAGTATTTGGAAAAGTGCAAAATATTCCATTTGCCGTCCCCGAAAAGCAATATGAAAAGACGAACATTTTAATCTTCCAATTATGGGCATTGCAACATGTAGATTCGTTGGAATGGGTCCTTTTTGAATGCGATTATGCAAAAAAAATACCAATCAGAATGTTTTTCCTAGCAAGTGCGACGATACTGGACTTGACATTGATGGCCACGAAAATAAATCGTATTTCTCTTTACATGGAAAATGTATGGAAGTATGTTTGACTATTATGTTTGACAGGTGGGCAATATTACGGGAACCAGAACGCCTTTCACTCATACCAAATATGTAACATTCACCACTCTCAACCACCGATTTGCAATCCCCCTAATTAGCTTTGTGAATATAAGTAGAATTCTATGAAATGTCAAAAAACTAAAAGCGTTTTTGTATTATTCATGCAGTTTTTCCTATGGTGCTTCTAAGCGGGCAATATTTACTGCATTATCTAGCTGCAATATAAGGCGGTATTTTTAGTATGGCCAGGCTACATAAGCTAGACATGTCTGTCATTTCCGATATGATTTCGTGTATTGCTGTCAAACTTCATTTTTAAAATATTTGCTGAGCACTTCAGTGCATCTGTCTGCGCCCTTTTATATTATACTGAGAAAATAATTGCAGTATTTTGCACGAGTTGCATTACTGTGCTTCAGAAAAATGTTACAGTATACAGCGTAATGAGGTAATGAGTCATAAATACAGGGTCCGTCAGATAGAACGCATGTTTTTCGAATGGGTACTACATCGAGTGGGCTGGTCCTGTGTCGGTGAGGAAGGGCGTGTTGAATAGTGGGAGAAGTGCCGTTTCAGCTGGCAGGATGGTTTGGAACGTTGAGCATCGTGTGTTCATTTTACTTCGGTACCTTCAAAAGTGAACGCAACGTGAGTTTCGCGTTCACTTTCGTGTTCCACGTCGTGGGACAGAGCTAGGCCGTAACACCATTTTGAGATGGGTGGAAGCATTCAACACAACAGATAATGTGGTGAAGAAAAAATCGCTAGGGCGAAACCGTACTCATAAAACCCCCGAAAACGTAGACAGAGTAAGAGTTCACATGCTGCAAAGCCCGAACGTTCCGTCCGTTTGCGTGCCAGTTCTAGGGATCCACGCGTCCTCTGTACGGCGCATCTTAAAGAAGGATTTAGTGTTCCACCCTTACAAAATCCAAATTTTTCAACAACTGTTGCCAGGGGATTATGCACAACGTGTTAATTTTGCACAGCTCATGATTGAACAGTTGGTTAAGAATGACATGACGTTGTTTATGAGTGATGAAGCACAAAATTGTCGATATTGGTCTCCAGTGAACTCCCAATAGTTGCATGAGCACCCGCTGCATACCCCATAGTTTTTAGAACTTAATTTTTTTTTACTCAAAAAATAGCATGTATTTCTGAGTATTTTGATATAATAAAATATCTTTTCCCATACTTATTTTGACTGTACTACTCATTTAAAAACCTGCGTTCTTTCTGACGGACCCTGTAGATCCCATTTGTACTTCCTTCGTCACGTCTCTACACCTTTCTCAAAATCGGTGCTTTGAACTGAGTAGTGGAAGTAATAAAAAGATAACTTGATTAGGTGCATCATCTGAATAATTTTTCAAAGAATTTACAAGTAAATAATCAACCTGCATTAGCTTTCATCTCTCCCAATTGCATTTTTCTTAATATTACCCTTCACTGTCACTGCAAAATTTTATCAAGATCCTAGCGGTGTTTTACCCGAGTTCTGGAGTGGCCAAGGATTAGCGGATAGACAGACAGACCGACACACTAACATACAGACAGACAGACCGGTGGAAATGAGTAACATGGTTTTTCGTGATACACATATCATGTAATATCCAAAGCAAATAATATTTCATATACCTACTAAATTAACCACGATTACTGCGACAAAGTTACTCAGGGTCAATTATAACTTTGGATCTTATAAATTCCTTGAGGAACGTTCAATGGAGGAGGACTTAAAAGTTTTCATTTCACAGTAGGTTGTAACACAGACTATCATAGCTGTCAGTGTCTGTCGTTAGTCTGCCAGGTCTGCTGGCCCAGAAACCAGACAAGTTTTAGGCGTTGATGAATTTTAGACAATTTCGTTTTCTGAGATAAATTTTAGTAAGTAATTCAAAAGACTCATGAAATTGATTAAGGTTATTGATTAATTTGCAGATTGTGAAATAAGTTTCAACCTGAATGAATACGCTGAAACTCTCCAATGTACCTTTATTACCATGTTGGTTGCATACAAGTGTTTGGGTTTAATATTTGCTGTGTAAAGGAAAAACCATACAATTTTCAATACTATTTTCAATCATGCACTTAAATTTAGCATACATTTTGTAAATATGTGTTATCTAGAGATACGGTCAACAAAGAAAAACCTCTTTGACATCGATGACAGCCTGTGATGACAAATGTTACAGCTTGCTGTGGAATTTGAATGTTAAATCCTCCCTTGAACTTACCTCAAGGGTGCTTTATTGAGTGTTAAAATCCAATAAGAGACCGTTCCTCGAACGGCACTTAATCATCAAGGAACGTTTATCTATTAGAATGTTATTTCATATCACATTCTACCCATTATAGAAAATCGCGGAAACGAGCTTTACTCAGACCGATAGATAAAAGTAGTAATCCCACCTCTTATTCTAATTTAAGACCCATAAGCATCCTACCCATATGATCAAAATTATTAGAGAAAATGAGGTATATACTACCTAAGCAATGCGGATTTAGGAAAGGGTACAATACATCAGGAGAGTTATTAGACTTAACAGATAACATCGTGAAAGCTTGGGATCAAAACTTCGCCGTCCTCTTAGATCTTACCAAATCATTTTTCATGATAAATCACTTAATTTAATTAGCTAAATTTAAGTATCATGGTTTTTCTGAAACAGATCTCAAAAAGTTGTTATTGATATAAAATCATCACCAGAAACTTTGATATCCTCGGGAGTGCCCAGTGAACAGTGATTGGACCACTCCTTTTTACTCTTTACATCTAGACAAAGTGGTAAAATATTGCAAAACATAATTATTTGCCGATGATTCTCAATTAGGTATACAACAATTTCAATAATGGAAAAATTATGGTCAAAGGGCCGATTTCACCAACATTATTATTATGGACCAATAGGAAAATACCTTATCGAAATGCAATTTGACGGAAGCTGTCAAAGGTGTCAGAATATCAGTGATTTCTATTGAAATGTTGAATAAAATCGTAAAAATTCGACTGTATTATAAACAAGACCACTTTTTGATTCCAACATGATGCTTTTGTACAGAAAAAACAGGACAACTTTAATGTATTTTGATTTATGTTATAGGTGTACATTTGACCATCCGTTATCCCCTCAGCGAATGGGAATGGGAGAAATAATAGGTGGATTTTCTAGCTGTTAAATTTGGCAGCAGGTTTAGTCGTTTGTTAATTCGTGGCAATCTCGAAATTTAAGTTCAATATACTGTGTGTATATGTGATCATTATAGCTACACATACCTGTTGAATTGTGCGGATTTGCAAGAAAATAGAATATAAAATGTATTCCAACCAATTCCTCATCTCTCTTTACATCATAATAGTAATCATTTGTTATAAATTCATGAGTTAATGAATTTCTTCAAAGCAATGAAAGCAGTATGGTCGTCCCCATCCTAAAACACCGATATGTGTAAAACATGTGAATCCCTACATCTCCGAGGTGCATAATGCAATTACTGTAGACATAGACCTAAAATTATTAGTAATTACTGAAAAACAAGAGCTAAAAAGAATTATAAATAGTGATAAAATATTGGTGGTTAAGGTTTTTGACTGGTGACTGGTGGGGATGGGATACAATATAGGGATGGCGACGATAGAGAAAGATTTTCCCCTGTCGGCCCTTGATATCGTTTCGAAATATGAAATTCTGCAAACGCTATAAAAATAAAAATGAATACACAAAGCCTACTTACCTCACAAGCAATTGGCGAAATATATGGAAAGGTATTGCCACGTGCCAAAATCACGTAACCTTTTTTTTACTATTTATCACTTATCCGTAATTTGAGTTTCTCTTCATTGATAATGAGTGTCCATTACTAGGCCAAACCCATTTCAATGATTTTCTTTTGACAAATTTAATAGTTTATTGATTGTATAATTTCACTCGTATTATATCTTTCTTTCTCAGCGATTCGGTATGGTGTTGACGATCAGCAAAAAACTCTGTAGGTTTTCTCCGTTAGTTGGTTTCCTATAAAACATATCTTCTTCAAGACCACTCAAGATACCTTCTTCTAGAACGTTACGTGTTCTGCGTGATTCGCTTTTCTGTTTCCGTGGTGGTCGTGGTGCAGGGGTCGTTTCGTCATTTCCGGACTCTGGAATATGAGGCCCCAAGTGCCCAAGCACCCTTTTTTGTGTAACTTGAGTTTAGTCATTTTGGTTTGGGTGCTACGTCTTCCATTTTTTTTATGGGATTTTGACCCTCAGCGGTTCTTTTTTATATACCTTTGGACCATGTGCCTTAATGCGTGTCCTGATGACGTTCGTTCAATATCTGCTTCCTTTTAGTCAATAGAAATAGAAGAGGATCGTCATCCTTTCTCCTCCAGTTGGTGGCATCTTGTTGCAGTTTTGCAAATTGGTGGAAGCCATCCCCTTGAAAAAAAACTTGATGTGAAGAGGTAAAATATCATTCTAATTAACAATTTCATAGACCTTTATATATTTATTATTGCTTATTGAAATTCTTAGAGATTTCTTGAATTTATTGGACATTCTACGTATTCAAATATGGGGGCAGTGCCTACATGGCACCTTCTATTGCACTGATCATGATTTTGATTTTTGAGCTGCCATAACTTTTTAGAACAAGGGTATATTAGTTTAGTCCATTTTTACCTTTTTTTTCCTTTGCTTTACTTTTCTTGTACAAAAAAATGTACATGGTTTTACTACAAGCGCGATTGTTTTCAATGACTAGTTTTATCTTATCCTGTCTTATCTTACGTTCTGTCCTGTAGAGTGGACAATTTGTTGGGTATGGGTAGATTGCTTGGCGGAAAACTTGATGTCTGCACATATCAACAAGTGGGAATACAATTTGTTCTCTTCTGAGACTGCTGAATGTTATGCTAAATTTGACATATTCATTCCTTGATTTAATTTACCTATTTCGACTATCTTTTATCTTCATGATTAAGTATTGATTACCTTTATTAGTTCGTTTAACTTATCTTACCTTTACGTTATAATTTCTGCTATTTGTTTTATGACTGGATTCTGGAGCATTTTCGGTAGTTCCTTGCCCTCATGTCCAATGGTGTGAAGGAAATTATTATATCCTGGTGATGCTAAAGGAGAATATGCCACAACGACGAAATCGTTTTTGTGACAAAAATCTACCAATTCTCTTTGCTGTATGGCAACCTGGATTTCTATTTGCAAACAAGCTGGTTTTATCCTGCACGATTTCAGTATCGTTACTATTTGTTTTTTGTTGAAGTTGGACAGTCTAATGGCTTTTGTTCTACCGGCATCTACTTGCTCTTCCATTTTCTTACACAGTTCCACGTGATCACTGTTCTCCAATTTCAACATAGTGGGTGGAGTAACTAAACATCGCTCCACGTAGTTTGTGCCCACTGGGAAATGCAGCAAATATAAATCAACGTAGTTCAAACGCAATTCTTCCAGTGACTCCTTCAACATCATTTCGACCCTGTCTGGATGTACGCCGCATAGCGCCAATTTGGTGGTGATGTAGAAATCATCCCTTTTTATCTTGCCGGTGGAAATCCACTGTTATATCACCCTTCCAATGATCTTTTCGTTTTCGAAGACGTAGGTGGTGTCGATGTGGCGGTAGCCGACTTCTAAAGCTGCATTCAAGGCTGTCTCTAACATTTTTATTAAATAACTGTGTCACGCTTTAGAACGTCTCTCATTCTTGGAGCACCAAATTTTGAGAAACGGCATGTAGATACTACACCTGTAAACGTTTTGGAATAAGTCAATTAATGACAGTATTACATATTTCAACAATTTGCGCCTTTAATGTTACGTGACAGTTTTGAGGATCCAAGGCACAAATTTGGAAATTCTAGTGCAAACTCCAGGTAGATTCGCCTCGGCACAGCCAATACCCCGGGAAATTATACCTGCCAAGAAGTATTGGCCATCTTTGCTTTTAACCTGTAAGGGTCCCCCAGAATCTCCTTGGCAAGAGTCTTGACCTCCGCCTTCATGTCCAGCACAAAGGAAGATTTCAGGAATAAATTCGTGTCTCCCAGCTCTCAAAAACATGCTTTTGCAACGGTCGTTGCTCACTATAAGCACCTGCACCTGTTCACATATCTCTGGATGGCGAAACTATTCCTGTATATGAGTCAGTTAAAAACTTAGATATTTTTCTTGACAAGTGTCTAAATTTCATTCTACATCGCATCCCTAAGAGTTTTTCAGTACTTCGCCAGTCGTCAATAAACAAATTCTAGATTAAAAAAATAAGAAAATTTTATACGAATCATTGATCGTTTCAAAAATCACATACTACGATACTGTTTACCATTCATCTTTAGATACGGTATCTATCGAAACCCTTACAAAAAATTCAAAATTCTTGCTGTAGATTAGTTGAAAACTTGAAAAAGTACGACCATATTTCGATATCTTTTCAAAACCTAGGTTGGTTGTATGTTACATGTTATACAACTATCACTTACTATGTTATGTTCATGAGCTTAGTACCCCGTTTTTAAAGCAAAGGCTAATAAATCGTATGTGTTCATTTTAAAGATATCGGCTTTCCAAGTGCACCACCGCCTATCCTCAGGATTTAATTTTTCATTACTTCCTGAAATTAAATCTTTGACATTTGATAAGTTTGAAAAAGATCAAGAATCTGCTTTTACAGTGCCAAAATTGAAAATACTTATCTTTCACTTGAACATACTACGAGCTCCTTCCCACTTCAGTTGGCCCACTTCAAGATTTGTACCAAAATATGCCTTTATGAACTAAACATGACGAAACTATTTACTTGTAAAACAATTTCTTTTCTCAAAAACATTTTAGATACACCGTAGTCGTAAAAAATACATATTTGAAACCACTTAGACCTATAACATATTGGAACATCTAAACAAATAAACAATGTTAGAATAAATGCGCGAAGTTAACAAAGCAGCAATTGAAAGATTACCATAGGGTAACATCACCTTTATCTTTTTATTACGGCTGAAATTCTTTGGGGCATAGTGTTAACCAAGTTTTGGCAAAAATTTGGTGTAAAACAATCCCATATTTCTTGAAGCTTTTGTCTCAGTTCGGTGATTGTACGCACAGGATGTGGTCGTAGAACCTTTTTCATCTCGTGCCATAAAGTTTCAATAGGTGACAGATCTGGACTGCTAGAAACCCATTTCAAAAGTGGTACATTATTTTCTTTCATCCATTTTATAGCCTTTTTTGAGGTATGGCACGCTGCACCATCTTGCTGAAACACAAAATCTTGGCCGGATGTCAAACATTCTTCCATCACTGGTAAAAGCGATTCTTCGAAAATTGCCAAATATTTGTTTGTATCCACATTTCCATCAATAAAATGAAGTTTTCCTACTCCTTTTGATGACTTACTGCCCCAGACCATAATGGATGCTGGAAATTTCACTTTTGTCTTCAGAGAGTCAACATGGAATGCTTCATTTTTTTTGCGAACAACTCTACTGCGACTGTCACCAAAACAAACTTCGAATCGGGCCTCATCACTCCATTGTATTGCACACCATTGGTGAGGGCTCCATTGTCTATGTTCTTTAGCCCATCTAAGCCGATTTCTCTTTCGCAGTGGAGTTAATAGTGGCTTTTCTTTGGCCTATAAACAAGTTGTGCAGCTTTAGGGTTTTTACTTCGCTTTTTTTATAAGAAAACTTACCTTGCAAGTGCTAAAACCCAGTTTGTGGGCCTCTCTATGAGTATTCTCTTAATGCTCTTCGGTCGGCATTTGTGATATTACTTTTTTTCACATATCGTGCCTTAATATTAACTGAACCAGTTACGTTATATCTTCTAACAATATTTCTCACACCGTACCGCAATAGTCCAACAAAGTTGCAATTTCTGAGTTTGATTTCCCAGAATTAAAAAATTTAATTACCAGTAACCGAATTTTTTCACTAATAACATTTCTTCTACCCATTTTGAAAACCTTAACTACCCAAAACTATTTTAAACGTATTCTGACAGCTGTGATTAATAAAAACAATTGTCATGGCTTTTATTTTTCACAGCCACCTATGCGTTATATACTTATTTTGCATTTAAATGAAAATAGGTTGATATGCTGTAATTGCAACATGTGTTATTTTTATGCTGCAAATTTGATTAGGGAGTGATAAAGTTGGTGTTTTCTACTATATATTATCAGAATATTCATTGTTTATATTTTAAACCTATACCCTGCTACATTTTTATTATTTGTGATTGATAAGAAAAAAACTAAGATATCAATAGTTGAGCCAACTGAAGTGGGAAGGGGCTCGTATTATTATTATAAGGAGGGTCCTATAACTCAGAACAATGAGCTCAGTCTGCATATTATAAGCTTAGTCTAACAGTCATGCATTATCTTGCTGATGTTGCAGTACAGAATCGGCTGAATAGCCCTACATACCAGTGGCAGCAAAGTTACTCAGCATTAATAAGATCGTTCCCATAGCCTATCGTATCTGAGATCGTGATCTCATCAGTTGTCTCTCCGGCTGAAAGTGAATCGATCTTTTTCAGAGTTAAGCGTATGTAAACGTCGATCGCAGAGTAGATTCGCTGTTCCCGTGTACGAGATAGGAAGAAACGGCGCAGCGTTTTTATGAACGGACTCGGAACCCTCTCAGGCGCCGATGCGTACTGTCGAGGTACATCATGTAGCGTTTTAAGATATTTTATGTATAAGAATGAAAAACGCAAATAACACTGGTGAATAAAATTAAAATAATTTTTTGTGACATGGATAAAACAAGGTGGTTACTATGTAAAACGTACCCAAAAAGCCGGAAATAGCGATTTTTTCTATCACCCACGGTTTTCTGGCAATAAGGCATTTTATTTGCTGCTTATACTCGTAAAATGTAAGCATATGTGTGTAAGAGTACTAAAAAACACTCGAATAAACATTAATCTCAGAATATTGTTGTTGTTGTTGTTTCACGGCGATATGTTGCTCCTGACGTATCTCTTAACAATGTCCAGCAATAATCAGCAAGCAAATTGACACTCCATTTGCCTTGATACCGTTTTTCCATAGCAGAAATGTCTTGAAGGAATCGTTCACCATGTTCATCACTTACCGCACCTAAATTTTCTGGAAAAAGATTGAAATGATCATCCAAAAAGTGAATTTTTAGAGACATTTCACATCCCATTCCTTTATAAGCATTAACTAGTTCACTCACAACATCTTTATAATTGCAGTAACTGATTTAAAAGCATTCCAAGCTCGTAATTCAGTTTCATTTAGGGCACTGTCGAATACATCATCCTTCATGACTTTCCGTATTTGTGGACCAACAAATATGCCCTCTTGAATTTTTGCCTCACTAAGTCTCGGAAATGTTTGTTTTAAATGCAGAAAAACCCTCTTCCATTTCGATCCATACCTTTCACAAAATCTTTCATCAGTCCCAACTTAATATGCAAAGGTGGAAGCAACACGTTTTTGGGATCAACTAGTAGTTCATGAGCAATGTTTTTGAGGCCTGGAGTTAGTACCTGATGTAGTGGCCACTCCTTCTGTTCATAATGACGATCTTGCGCACGACTGTCCCATTCACAAAGAAAACAACAATATTTGGTATATCCCAGTTGCATTCCAAGAAGAAGGGCTATTACCTTTAAATCTGTGCATATGGCCCATCCATATTCATTATAACGGATATGTTCTCACAGAACTCGCATATTTTCATATGATTCCTTCGTATGAACTGTGTGCGCTATAGGTACAGATCAATATTTATTACCTTTGTGTACCAATATCGCTTTTAAACTAAGCTTAGAGGAATCAATGAGCAGGCGTCAATCATTTGGGTCATGTTTCGGTCCTAACGCGTCAAACAAATTGTTGACAGTGGAGCAATATATCAACTCCCTTTCTTGACGGAAACAGTGTGTGAGGTCTTGTTGCCATTTTCGGTAAAAAGTAATGTTAACATTACCATGGAGAAGATTCCATCCTTTTAATCTTGACGCTAAAAGTTCTGACTGGAATTTTGACAGATTTAATTCTCGAACTAAATCATTAAGTTCACCCTGAGTGATCAAATGCGGCGCTGTTGAACATCCTGGCAGGTCAAACGAAGGATCGAAAATGTTTACGCTTTCTGTACCATCACTTTTAGAATCGGTGGATTCGACTTTTTCATCCAAAGACCAAGATTCTGGTGGAACTGGGATAGAAAGTTGATCACTATGTTTAACGGGTCGCAAAGCTGTTGGTAAATTAAAATACTTAACAGTATGTTTCGATTTTGGTCCAATACCTTTAATATTTGTGAGGCAAAAATAGCAATCAGTAGTATGGTCTCTCGGTTCTCTCCACACCATTGGTACTACAAAGGGCATTTTACGATTGTCGCCTCTTAACCAAACTGTTAACAATGTTACATAAGTCTTACAACATATATGAGCGGCCCATAGTTTATCTTGGTCGCCAACTTTAATTCCAAAATAAAGTTCGTATACTTTCAACACAAGGGGAGTAAAAGTACGTTTTTGGGATTTGAAAGTTAGCTCTCCGCACACATAACAAAAACTGTTTGCACTATTTACACAATTTCTAGGGATTGTCCATAAAGCTAGTCTCGATCACAATAAACTAAAAACAACACACCGTTTTAACAAAAATTAACAGTACTCGG